CCCCATCATCCCTACCATCACCTCCCCCTACCTCCTCCGGTCAATTTGATCCCTCTGGCCGCATCGCTCAATGGCTTCACCAACACTTGCAGCGCTTGCCGTAGATACTCTAGGTAGCGGGCTTCCGAGGCATACATGTACACGACGATTTTCTCCCGCCGGGACCGGGCCCGGCCTTGGAGCGAGTTAAGGAAAGGGCAACGTGCGCGGGAAGAATCGGAAAGGGAGAGGCTGGAGGAGAGCTGGTAGGCAGGGGCGGTCGGTGTTAAGGTGGCCGCGAGGCTTTCCTGGTGGCAACGGTCGATTTGCCGTTGAAGGATTTGAACCCATTCAACGGCTGAGCGGTAATGGAAGCATGAGAGGACGAGAAAAGAAGGAAGGGGGAAGGCGAGTGAGTTGTATCGATTTCATAATGGCCTGCAGTGATGTTACGCAGTCCACGAATTTTGAATACCATCATCACAACCTCATTCCCCGCCCTCCTTCCTGCCCCATCAACCTTCCTCCCTCCCCTGTGCCGTCCCCACGACCATTTAAAACGTCGCGCAATATCGGTGATGGGGCACAGGAGGGAATTCCCTGAGCCATTGTTCCGTTGTCATATGTATCGTATAGATACAGATCTATCTATCTATACATAGATAGATCACATAATACACATATACATACAAACGTACAGACATATACCCCTCTACTATTGATATATATATTATATATAAATATATATCATATAATACACACACTATCACATAATGCATACATATATACAACCGTACAGTCATACAATCCCTCTGGCACGTGCCTGTCCTCTCACCCTCCTCCTTTCTTCCCTCCCCCTCCCCAGCCCCTTACATGGAAACCGTAGCCGGTACTCTCGCTGTTTGGTCGTCACCTTAACTTCACATCCGGATCCATCAACGATGCGCGGCTCTCCGTAGACTTCCTTCAAGTTGATGATCCGACGAAGCTGAGGGGGAAAGAGTGAGGAGTATGGAAGGACACCAGGGAAAGAGTGAGAAGTATGGAAGGACATCAACATGAACGACCGTCGAACGTCGAAAGGAAAAGGGGAAGGTAATATTGGGCACACACCCATTAAAATATATATTTAAAAGGATGCAGTTCCTTGAAATCCGAATTATACCGAGGCGTGAAAATGTGGTACCGAGAGTGAATAATACTACCTCCTTTCGGATGTGGAAAGAGACAGAAAGCCATCAAGGTCGGCCACCACAAAAGCAAAAAAGGACAAGGAGGAGGGCAAAGGGAGTGTAACTAAATTAATTGTGCGTATACATGGACGTGGAGGAAGCTTCGGGCACTCTTCCGTGTCATGTACGAGACGATATCCGGCATAAGAGGGGGAGAGAACAAGCCGGAAAAAAGCCCCATCAAAAAAATAGGAGGGGAATGGGGGAAAAGGGAGAGAAAGACAAGGAAACGAAGATGGAATATGGAACCAAGTTATTTCATAGATTGTGCGCGCACGCCACATCAACAATGAGAAGGCAGGCCGTCAAAGGAAAAAAGAGCCCGCATTAAAAATTTAGGCAAGAAAGAAGCCCATAGAGTCCCCAAAGACACCAAAATAAAATAAAAAATTCTCCAGAGAAGGCCATCCCCAGCGAATGTTGGATGCGGGGATCTTGGGGGTTGCACCTACCTTAAACGTACGGGGAAGGAGGCGAGCCGAGTAGAGGAGGGCATCGTTGAAGAGATGAGCGTAGACAGTTCCTTCCGTGGTGTGCTTCGTCTCCTGGTTGACGGTGATTTTCTGGATGGG